TTTGAGACATGCCTTTAAATTAGACAAAGCCCATTCATCAAACGTGCATGTATGTTACCATTCTTTGTTTCCTTCCTTTGGTGTCTGGAGCTGGGCATGTGGGTGTGTATAATGCAGCAAAGTCAGTCATATCAGTTTGTTCAATAGAACAGTGTAAAGTGCGGGATAGATAATTGTCCTTGGATGCAGACAGATTTTATCCAGAACCACAGGTAATCATCCCATGTTTGATTACATGCGGACTACCACTGACAGATGTGGCCGCTGCCAGGCTGTCAATAACTTGCATGGGCAGAGAGATCAACTTTGAATGGACACACCTGGGATTCCTGCCACAGTAATCTATAGGTTCTTGCCGCAGGAATCCCCAGCCACACATAATAGCCCCGTGTAAATGTAGCAGCATATACTCACCAGAAGTGAGGGGAGAACTCCAAGTCATTCCAGTCAGTGCTTACAGGGGGATGGAAACACTCTCCCAGCTCTCATGTGACTATGCCAAACCAATCGCCAAATTCAATGATCCAGGGCAAGCAATTGCAGAGCAAGTCTCCCTGCATGTTACTGGGGCTTATTCCCATGGTGGCAACCAGGGCTGTCCCTCAGGTGGCATCTCCTGGAGGGCAGCACGCAGAGTGGCATGGCCGGTCTGTTTAACAATGTTTTCAGCGTGCCTGCCACACCCTTTCCAGCCAAAGCGTCCCAGGTTGCGGGGAGATGTGTAATGGCCATACACATATCTCCACCCAGCTCTTAGCAACCTAGGGCGCTTTTGCCAACATCCTGCTGAGCTCCTGGCCATCAGTGATGTCATTGGTTGCCAGGAGCTCAACAGAACATTGTGCCCGACCCCGCCACCTCAGGTGGCAAGAAAGCTAGGGACACCCCTGGTGACAATGCCGTAGACTGAATGAGAGGATTCCTTTAGGTGCCTATAGACATGAGGTAACTATCAGTCAATGTCCTTGTTTTGGAATTGAAAGATGTTCATGCATGTGTATACACTGGGCATACAGCTCTTTTGGTGCCATTTTGTTTTAAGTTTCAGAACATTCAGAGTAAGTAGAACAAGACAATAAAATGTTCCCCAGTAATATTTGACATCTCTTTAACCTAAATTCTACCTAATAATTTCCTCACCACAGAGGCCTCTTATGCCATACCTTCACCTGCCCAGTACTCCGTACTCCTCTGTGACGCTCTGCCATCATAGTTGCAGCCATTCCTCACCTATCACTTTTCTCTTCAGTTTTCTACTTATAGAAGAAGCAGGGGGGAGAAATAGGAGGTGCTCAAATGAATGAGAAACAGGGGGCCACCTCTGCGTCCCAGGTAACCATTATAGTTCAGACTGTAATGCACTCAGTGTCATAAAGGCTTAAAAAAGAAAATCTCTCATGAACTTCGTCACTCTACACAAGCGTTTTCCTTCCCTCATGGAACGATACATGTTAGCCTTGAAAAGATGCACCAACCTGTATGTATCTATTGCTGATACATTGTTTCTTATTATTGTTGTAACAATTATTATTATTACTGTTATACACAGAGCAGAGGGACGGCTGTTTCTTGTGAGGCTGTGCCAGATTCCTTGCAGTCTTTCAGTAAAGCACAGTCCTAAATAGAAGGGAATTTATCAAAACTGGTGCAGAGAGAATCTGAAGTAGTTGCCCCTGGCAACCAATCAGCTTTTATTATTCATTTTCAAATCTTAACTGAAGATCTTAACTGATTGGTTGCCATGGACAACTGCTCCAGATTCTGTCTGGTCTGGTTTTAATAAATTCCCTCCACAGGGCAAAAACTCATAACAACCAGAATTCTTCTTTCACCGAACGGTCTCCAGTAAACTGGAATCTGACTAGCTGGTATGAGCCGCAGTATTTTCCACTCTGTCGGTACTCTTAAAGACATAATCCACCTTTTGGAAAAATGAATGCGGGCATATCGATGGAAGAAAAAATGTGTTAAAATTCATTTTTGTGCATTGGAGCTAGCAAAGCATTGCAACCATGATCAGTGGATCGCGGGTGGAATGTCCAGACTCCTGCAGACTGTTCCTCCTGCCCCAGGTCTGCACAGAGGTATGGACCTCCAGTTATGGGGCTGGTGGAAGTAATCAATGGACTACAAGTGCTGTGATATCACTACACTTGTACTCCATTCAGAGCTAAGAGTTCCTCTGCTTTGGTGTCAGATGAGACTTGTATTCTTTCCATTCACAGATCCTGTGAATGGATGTGGCAGATGGCAGCTGCACCTAATTCCACACTAAACAGAAGCCTGCAGGGAGAAGAAACATGCAATTCAGGTTTGAAGTTTGGGGGGGCTGGGAAATGTGACCATGTTTTATTGTACACCCTGAATATGTTACTTGTTCAGACACTTCCTGTTATAGGGCGACGACTGTCTCCCAGTTATGCACCTGAGTTGTCACACAGGCTTCTTATGGAGAGTACAAGTGGCTGTTTAAACACACATCACAAATACATGGTCCACTGTTGTCACCACCATCAGGATACCCACCCTGAGAAATGCCATGCAGTTATTGCTGGAGTGCATGCATGTAAGCAGGAAGTGGCTACAAATGTGCTGTAGGAGTTCAGCAGTGCTGACATGCAACAAGAGATGAAAAGTTGAAAACAACGGTTTTATTGAAATAAAAAACAATAACAAAGGAAAAACCCCACAGCAGTTGTTTATGATACACAGTGCTTAAGAACACTTAAAGGCTAATTCCACCTTTCAAACCATGTCCCACATATCCCTATAGGCTGTAACAGGAAACATGGTGCCATATTGCAGCCCCCCCCCCCATACACACACACATACACACACACACACACACACACACACTTACCTGAATCATGTGGAGCTTCTCTTTGGAGCACCCTGTGTATTCTTGAATTTGGTGTGGCTGTGTTTGCCTCTGCCCCTCCAGTCGCATTATTCATTCCTAGACCCATCATGGTAGAAGGGCTGGTAGATTTCAATGGAGCACATGAGTGGTGATGTCACGGCACTGCTAGTCAATTGATAACTTCCTTTGGCTCCATAACTGAAGGCCCGAACCTCTGTAAACACCTGGGGCTGGAGGACGAGGCTGCATGTGCCTGTGCATTGGACCAGCAATCCACTGATCACACTGGCAATGCTTGCCCGGCTCTAATGCAAATAAACAATCAATAAATGCAGTTTTCGCAGCATGGGTGCATTTATTAAAGCAGAACTCTGGGCACATCAAACCTTAACCCTTGCAGTGGGGCTACCCCCACACTGCAAGGGTTAAGTGCTCATTTTATCTAGGGAGTTAAAATAAGTTATACTCACCCAAACCATGATCCCGGGTGTCTCCTACACCACTCCCTCTAGACTGTCTCCTCCTCTGCACCAGTGATGGTACATCCCTCGGCGTCCTCATACACTGTATAGAACGTGAAGACTCACAGGACCATAGGCTGCTGGAACAGAGGAGGAGACAGGCTGCAGGGAGCAGTGTAGGAGCAAGCTGCGATCGTGGTTCGGGCGATTATAACTTTGTTATTTTAGCTCCCTATAGACAAAATGAGCATTTAACGCTTGCCGTGTAGGGGTAGCGCTACCGCAAAGGTTAAAAGAGAACTATGGGCGAACCTTTTTTGGCGTTAGTTCTCTTTTGGATCACAGGAGGACATTTACTAATGTCCTCCTGTGACCCAAAACTCAGCATATAGTGGGCAATAGCCCGCAGAGCCATACTGCACCTGGGAAGGATCCTGATACTATTGTGCCCCATTGCCTGATTGACAGCTGGCTCTGCCTTGCCAGAGCCAACTGTGCCCGCCCCCTCCCCCATCCATTTCTTCAATAAGCTCTGGAGGAACAGAGACGGGAGGGGGAATCCCTGCAGGGAGCAATGACTGACACCCACCGCTCTCTGCAGGGAGAAGAATGTGAACTGAGTGATCAGCGGTATGTGATTGATCAGTTCTCGATCTGTAGAGCCGGCGTGTGACAGCTGCAGTGTCGGCTCTAACTATGGGGATGCGTGTATTTCCCTCTCACTGTAATTCTCCTTTAAGATTTGTTTTGCTCGGAGTTCTGCTTTAACATTTTGCAAAAAGTGGAATCTGACTTTAATGGGACTATTTCTAAGCTAGTGAATGTGACTTCCATCAAACATTCACTGTAGCTGAATTCATCACTATCATTTGAAGCACCTGCCCCTGGAAGAATAACCTGCAGTGAATGTTTGGTGAATGCCAGATTTGCTGCTTTATACACCTGCCCCTGGAAGAATAACCTGTAGTGAATGTTTGGGGGAATGTCAGATTTGCTGCTTTATACACATGCCCCTGGAAGAATCACCTGCAGTGAATGTTTGGTGAATATCAGATTTGATGCTTCATACACATGCCCCTGGAAGAATAACTTGCAGTGAATGTTTGGGGAATGTCAGATTTTCTGCTTTATCCACATGCCCCTGGCAGAATAACCTGCAGTGAATGCTTGGTGAATGCCAGATTTGCTGCTGTATACACATGCCCCTGGAAGAATCACCTGCAGGGAATGTTTGGCGAATGCCAGATTTGCTGCTGTATACACATGCCCCTGGAAGAATCACCTGCAGTGAATGTTTGGTGAATGCCAGATTTACTGCTTTATACACATGTCCCTGGATTCAGAATAACCTGCAGTGAATGTTTGCTGAATGCCAGATTTGCTGCTTTGTACACATGCCCCTCAATCATTTAAAGGACATACCCTCTTATGTACAACCTGGTCGGTCCTGTTTTGCAGAAGTAAAACAAGCAATAAAAAGATCATTAACATAAAGCACATCACTCCATCACCGCTAATCTAAACATGGAAGTGGAAGTGTAACACTGATATGTATGGTGTTGTATAAACAGAGAAGAGACTGTCTGATTTGTAAATGGTGATATTAGAAGGATGGAAATCACCTTTGTCAGTCACATGCTGTCATGTAGATCAGGTGTGGTGTCACCCCTCCTCCTCCTCCTTGCTCTGATGCTGTGGCGCAGCCTCTCTGCTCTCCCCCCTCCAGTCTGTACGGCTGCTGCCTGCCTGTGCCTGCCTGCTCTGGGGCTCTCTCCAAGGCAGCCGTGTACACCTCTCTTGCCAGCCAGGACCCCGATCATCGTCATCCACCCGGTGTCAGGATGAGGAACCCGGCGGGGAGCTGCCTCTTCCTCCTGCCTTTGCTGCTGCCCATCGCCTGGACCCAGGGAGACGGGAAGGAGGTGGAGAACACCGGCAATTTTATGGAGGATGAGCAATGGCTGTCCTCCATCAACCAATACAGCGGCAAGAATGATGGGGAGGACAGGTGATGCCAGCAGAGTGCCCACATAGAACAGACTGCATAGCCAGAGTCCAGGATGGGCTACAGTACCAGCCAGCCATGGATAGTGGGTGCAGATACAATACAGAGGTGCCCAGCTGAAGGGACAATGCAGGACTCTTCAATCAGTGAAATGATGCTGATGTAGAGGTTACCAAGAACACAGGATGATGCCTAGAGCTGCTGCTTTCAAGTGAGAATAATGGCAACATAGAGCTCATTACAAATGAGGGTGCATATTGTGTACTGCACATGGGGGATTGTAGGCAGAACACACAATACATACTGGATGTGATAGATCGGAGTGGTCTAAGAAGAAAGGGGACTTCTCTGGGGCTGACATAGGAATAAGCTTGGCACATACAGGCATAGAAGAAAAAGGCTACAATAAAGGCTCAGAACAGGCAAGGTGGCATGTAATAAGGGTCAAGGCACTAAGCCCAGTACAAAAATGGATTAAAGTAAATGAGAAGCTGTATGTGGACAATGGACACTTTATAACATAACCAGGGAGGATATATTACAACACAAAATGCAGGAATTGTGAATGATTCAATTTGGTAGGGTGGCATTTGTATGTACTGTAGCACAGTGGTCAGATAAATCAGTTGCAGAAGCAGACTTGCTGAGCACTTAAAGGGTCAGTGCACAAAATTGATATTTCAGATTTCTTTAGATGCTGGCAAGTAGAATCACTCGCTGCTTCTTTTGATATTTCCGGGATTTTTGATGGTGAGATCTCTGCGACTGAGTTGGTATGCCTGATTAAAAGAAAAAACTCCTACGGGAGGGGGGCTTCTCGCCATCACATTTTTTTTTTATATTTGGAGAATTCAGAACTGGGACTGTTGTGAGAGCTGGAAGACCTCTTAATGTCTCCAAGAGATGCCAGCAGCTGGCAAGAGTTTCATCTCAACATAGTCCACCCATGAAATATCAATTTTGGAAGGAATGGCCCTTTAGATATTAAATCGATTTAAGCACAGAAGTGGCAGAAACTGAGTATGTGATTTAACAAATGTGCTGAAATGTAATGTAAACATGGGGAAGGAAATGAAATATCACACCGTGGTATAAAAAAAGATGAATGTTGTAAAATAGAAGCTTTTGATGTACAGCGCTCATAGAAGTGATGCTACCGATGGAAATGAATTTCAGCCATAATCATAGCAGAATAGCTGTTGTACATATACAAAAAGGCAGACAGAATACCGGCTTTTTAGAATTACCCCATCACATCCTCACTGTTCGGCAGCCAACAAATGCCCAATATTATTTGTATGTATTAAATCGTGACTGTTTGTAATGTATTGTTTATTGTTGGGTTGTACAAGCAGGTAGTGTTGTTATATTTGTCACCATTATTTTGTCCTTTGCTCACAGTCAATATTTACATTGTTTTATATTTGTGTCAGGACCAGAAATAAAAGAGTGCCTATGGTGTAGGTCATAAGATTGGCACAAGAATGGAAACCAATGCCTAGTGTATGTAGAGATACAGTATAATGATGTAGGGTTTTATTATCCAGGCAACAATAGTTAAGTGAAGGACAGGTCTTGGACAATTAGGCTTCAATGTGTAGCATGGTGGGACTGACACCCTGGTGACTTAAATGGATGTTCAAAACAGACAGATAGAGAGGCTGGCTAAGAAGTAAATATGAGCCCATAATGATTATCATGACTAATATTAGTTTCTTACACCTCCTGCAGCTAACTCAGCTAACTCATCAGCAGACAATTGAAAAGAATGCCTCTGTTTTATGATGAATGACACACAAAAACAAATGTGTGGGGAGAAAATTCTATATGTGCATATAAAAGCTATCGTCTCTTGTCCCGACAATGGTTACCAGAGACCAATCTCAGTGCTGTATATGTGTGTGAGTGATTTGTATAACACACATAGATGTGAAAGTGCATAATGAAATGTCTAACACGTTTACAGTCACAGTACACTGGGCAGGAGAGCTTTTACAGAACGCCGCTGACCTGCTTCTCTGTAGAGGGGTTAATGAGTAAAACCAACACTCCATTCAGTAAACATCAGCACTAATGAGACAACAGGAAAAGAAGCAGATTTGTTAGTAAAAGAACCTGAAGGAGGTCAAACAGCAGGTTCAACATGAAACAATTCCCCAGCATATGCCTCATCCAACCTTTGCAGAGCCACACTCAATTGTCTGCCCACCCTTCTTGTCCTGTATGAGCTGTTTACATGAACTTTTGTGTCTGAGCCGGTTTCATGGGTGTTTGTTTGCTACATAGCCAGACAATCCCACGTCTCGGTGAAAACTGTCTATCGGGTACCTTCACAATCCTGCTCGTAGATTTCTGCCTCTTTTATTGACAGCCTTTGTGAATATAAAATGCTAGCAGCTATTCTCAGGAGACATTTGATTTCAGTCTAAACAGCTGGCGCTGCATCATCACATATCATTATAATATTACATTGTTTCTCATTATTTCCGAACTGCCTGCAAAAGATAAAATAGAGAGCAAGATAGAGTGCAGAATCATTGAGGCCTGCAGCAGTGTTTGTAGTGCAATCGTCCCTGTTGACTTCCGAAAAATAATTTTATATATATATATATATATACATACAGTATATACACAATGTTGCCAAAAGTATTGGGGCGGGACACCCCTTCAAATCATTGGATTCAGGTGTTCCGTGAAACTTCCTTGCTACT